ATGATCGAATCGCCATGGTCAAACACGGTTGTATTGCCTTTAATTTGCTTAAAGCGAGCGCATTTTATAAACGTGAAGTTGCCGGCTTATATTTTCCTATGGTATGTATACAAATTATTTTATAATAAATTATATCTATATATTGTTTATGTAACCATTATTTATTTTAAACTATTGGCATTTTCATAATAGAATGACCATGATATTCCAATTGATTCCGATAATTCAGATAATTGGGTTATACTGTCTTTGGAGTCAATCACAGGACTACAGACCAGTCTTTTTAAGTTTTATTTCAGCGCTTTTGTCACAGATTTTGACTCTGATATACATATTCTTGAATTGGTATTATTTTAAATTTGACCATCATTTGCAATTAATTAGTTGTACTTATTTATACAGATAATGCCTGTACTTCTATTCAATCCCGATCTGCTAAACATTATCAACAGAGAAAGGATAGAGTAAGATATAAAACACTATTGTTTATTATTAATACATGATATTATTGTAATTTATAATAGACAACAACAACAGCTATACCTGTATTTACTTCAAAAATATTTGCGTGTAAAATATGGCAACAATTTCGATAACAAATATGAAAAAGTATTAATTATTTTACGAGACATTGAAGTATTGAATGAATTCTATAAACAGCGGTTTAAAGATATGAATTCCCAATTCTGTGGTCCACTTCTTAAAGAAATTCTTGATTTACCAGCAAATATTCAATTAAAATAAATGTTTGTTTAATTAAAATAGTTATTTTAGAAATATATATTTGTAAAACATTAATGTAATGTAAATTTATTAAATATTATTACTTTCATTTTATTTGATAAAAAATTAATGTACTTATACTATACAGTACATTATCAATAAAACATGATTTTAAAACATCTATATTATTTATGTTATTATGATCACTTTAATTTTAGCTTAAAATTATTAAACTTGATAAATTATAAATCTATAACAATTATACTACATGTATTAATGTGGCAAACTTAAATGAATTTGTGTCATGGTCCTGTATACGGTATACAGTATACCGCTCTAAAAATATTTTATTGTCGCTGAAATAAAGCATAATGATATAAAATTAGTTTTAATCATTATTTTATATAAAATATACTATACATAATTATCTATATCATACATACAGTATTTATTATAACAACACTTTAATTATTATCACTTTATATGTCTCCATAGAAATTGATAAAATTATTAACACAGAAATTCTTATAACGAAAGCACTTTTGTTTTTAATAAATATAAAATAGCAAAAACTGAATACAAGCTATGATTTAGCAAAATTGTATACAACATAAAATAATAGTTTATTATTATTATAATAAAGTATTTAGTAATAAAGGTTATTATAATTAATTATTATAATCATTGTTTTAACAACATTTCAAAAATTATTTCTTATTACTATTTGTAAATTGGATTTAAATAATGCCGAGATTTAGGAAACTAAAGGTTAAGAAAACCAAATTCTGTGATGTTTGCGGCGATGAAGCAACTGGTTAGATTTGAAATCAACAAATTGATCATGTTTGAATTTATATTATTATAATAAATATTTCTCAATAATAAGGCTATAACTTCGGTGCCATCGCTTGTCAATCGTGCAAATCATTCTTCAGGAGAAACGCATTCAATTATGAGGTATAAGAAATATAATCACAAATAATAATAATAATAATGATAGTAATATCTAATAATAATTTTAATTGTTTTAAAAATCAATAGACATATAAGTGTAGGTATAATAACGATTGTATTATTGACCAAAAGTACCGCAAAATATGCAAAACATGTCGACTTAAGAAGTGCTTTGCTGTGGGCATGAAAAAAGTAATTACAATTTGAGAGTAATTTAAAATTATTTTAAATAATAATATATTTGTTATAAAGGAATGGATTCTGAATGAAGAGGAGAGAGAATCGCGAAGATATCTGATTGAAGTGAACCGAAAGATGAGGACAAATGGTGTGAAAGACATAAATAGTGATAATTTAATTACAAGCACTTCATCTGATGTATTAAATGCCGACACAATTGACACTTCAATTCATAATTCAGTGAATAATACCATAATAGACGCAGAGATTGCAGAATGTGTTTCACAAATGACAGCCATTGATCCAAACGTGATAATAGATGTGATCGATGTAAACGCTATATCTGTCACATCTCCAGACAATGTGTCCATTTTCACTGATGTAAACCAAACACAAAACACGTGTATCAGTGATAACTCCAGCGATAACTCAATGGCTATCGAAATATTCAGCGCTAATAAACGATTATTGAATATAAATTATTTCAACAATTTTGAGTTAACTCGCCTTGATGAATTATTTGGTCTATCATTGTTTTACTTGGATTATCAAAATCACCCTAAATTTATTTACCCCGATGTTAATAGTGGTAAATTAGTTTTGCCCTACCACGATCTTATGAAAGAATCAGCTAAAGAATTTGAAGTGATGTTAACAAAATTGGTGAAGAATATTAATAACCTTGGCTCATTTCAAAGCATGTGTCTAAATGACAAAATAGCCTTGGTCAAATACGGCTGCATGGCGTTCAGCGTGGTTAGAGTTGCCTCATTTTATAAACGTGAAGTTTCTGGGTTATATTTTCCTATCAATGTAATAATTATACACGTTTCACTCAATTTATTTATCTATCTAATATTTATCAATTTTTTTACCATGGTGCATTTTTAATAGCGTCACAGAAACACTTGGATGACAATGCCTTTGGAGTCAATTGTGGGTCAAAATATTGATATGTTTAGACAATTGATGTTTTATTGTAACACTTTTGCTACAGATTTTGACTCTGATATACATATTCTGGAATTGGTATTATTTTTAATATAAACATGAATTATAAACAATTAAATATACTGTACTTGTTAACTGTAGATAATGTCGGTCATTTTATTCAATCCCGATTTGCCAAACATTATCAACAGAAATAGCATAGAGTAAGTCATAAAACATTGTTCATAAATATTAATATTAAATATTCTTATGATTTATAATAGACTACAACAACAGCTATACCTGTATTTACTTCAAAAATATTTGAGAATCAAATGTGGAAATGATTTCGATAACAAATATTCAAAAATATTGATTATTTTACAACATTTTAAAGTATTGAATGAATTACATAAACAGCAGTTTAAAGAAATGAATTCCCAATTCTATGGCCCACTTCTCACAGAAATTCTTGATTTTAAATCAAATAGTGATTCAAATCAAAAATTAGTTTAATCAATAAATATTTAATAAATTATAAATATAAAACAATTGATATCATGTCATTCTTGTAAGTAATTTGTAATAATAACTTCTAACATTTTTAAAAGTTGTTATTTACTTTTGTAAAAATAAAGCATTTTGATAAAACAAATATATGAAAATACCAATACCTACTAGCATATAACTAGGAATTTCCTAGCATATAACCAAAAATAAATATCTATATATTAAACAGTAACTGTTTAGTAACTGTTGTTATTTTAAAATTCGTTATGATAACAACACCTCAATTAATAACGAAAAATACTGTATTATTATCAATTAGATGACAATTATCTTCATAGAAATTAATACCACTAAAATCCGCTTAACTAGATCATTTATTTGATAAATATATATTATAATTGAAAATACGTATTATTTAGCGAAATTGTGCACTTGGTAACGATGTACAATATTTTACAAATATTTGTATATTAATAATTTGTTAAAACAATAATTATAAAATTATTATTATCTGTAATTTTTGTAAATTATTAAATTTAATGTTGAGTTACAAAAAACCAATGGCTAAACCCATGGTCTGTTTGGTTTGTGGTGGACAAGCAAATGGTTAGAATATAATTCATTAAATCTATCATGTATTTTACCATCATTATTTTTGTTCAATTATAAGGATACAATTTCGGAGCAATCGCTTGTCAGTCATGTAAGGCATTCTTCAGGAGAAATGCATTGAATTATGAGGTATAAGAAATATAATTATAAATAATAATAATATTAATTGTCATTAAAATCAATAGTCATATAAGTGTAAGTTTAGAGGCGATTGTATTGTCGACAAAAAGTACCGCAAAATATGCAAAACATGTCGACTCAAGAAGTGCTTCGCTGTGGGCATGAAAAAAGTGATTACATATTAACATTCATTTCTCATATTTTAATAATAATATATTTATTATAAAGGAATGGATTCTTAATGAAGAGGAGAGGGAATCGCGAAGATATTTGATTGAATTCAACAGAAAGTTGCGAATTAATGGTGTGAAAGACATTAATAATAATTTAATTACGAGCACATCATGTGATGTGTCAAACATCGAGGTATTAATAAATGGCAATTTAGTTAACAATAGAGTGGATAATAACATAAGAGACGATAAGATCGCTGAATGTATTACAATATCAAACATTGATCCAAACGAGATAACAGATGTCATAGATGTAAACGCTATATGTGTCACATCTCAAGACTGTGTCACCTTTTTTACTGATGTAAACCAAACTCAAAACATGTGTATCAGTGATAACACCGGCGATAACTCGATGGCTATCGACATATTCAGCGCAAACAATACAATTAAACAATTAAATGATTTAAATTGTTTTAATAATTTTGAACAAAAACGCCTAGATGAATTGTTTGGTCACGCATTATTTTACTTGCCTTACCATGATGACCCTAAATTTATTTGCCCAGATGCTAATAGCGCTAAATTAATATTCTCGTATAAATATCTTTGGGAAGAAGGTGCCAAAAATTTTGATCAATGGTTAACAGAACTCGTGGATAAAATTCAAAATTTTACCTCATTTCAAAGTTTATGTCTAAACGACCAAATAGCCATGGTCAAATCTGGCTGCATGGCGCTCAAAATACTTATAGCTGGATTAAATTATAAACGTGAAGTTTCTGGTCTTTACGTGCCCATGGTATGTATTCAATTAGTTTATACTTGTTCATAATTGTTTGGTGCATAATGTTTATTTATACAAAATAGTTTATTTAATTTATTCATTATTATAGTCAGATCGACAAACTTGGGTATCACTACCTATCGAGTCATTTCTAGGACAACAGACCCATATGTATAACTTATTGATGTCTTATTTCAACGTTTTTGTCACTGATTTTCACTCTGATGTACATATTATTGAATTGGTATTTATTTTATGTTTAATACTTGTTTATAATTAATTAATTAATACATATTTAAACAGATAATGCCTGTAATGCTCTTAAACCCCAATCTGCCAAACATTATCAACAGAGATAGCGTTGAGTAAGTAATAAAATACACTATTGTTTAATATTAATACAGAATATTATTGCAAGTTACAATAGACTACAACAACAGTTATACCTGTATTTACTTCAGAAATATTTGCGTATAAAATATAGCAATGATTTCGATAACAAATATTCAAAAGTATTAATTATTTTACGAGACTTTAAAGTATTGAATGAATTACATAAACAAGAGTACATAAAACTGAATTCACAATTCTGTGGTCCACTCCTCAGAGAGATTCTTGATTTGCCAGCAAATAGTCAATCAAATTAAATATTTATTAAAATAATTATTTAATAACTAGGAATATACCCCGATATTAAAATTGAATTTAAATTTATTCATTGAGGTAACTTTTCTGGCAAACATTGTTTGTAAAAAATTTCGAGTAAATTATTTATAAGTTTGTATTTAAAAGTAGATCTAAATATTTCTAATGAATATTGTCACAAAAACTATGTATTGATAGATCATAGTATATTTGCTGTGATCTATGATAATTTATATAAAATAAAACTTTTGTTTTTAAAAACTCAATCATTTTCTTTATTATTGTTTATTAAATACAAAATAAATTAAACAATCATTACATTTTGTGGACAGACTTTTTATGGCTAAACAAAAGGTTAAAACCAGTGGCCGAGTACTCACATCCGGGCCATTGACACACATATGGGCGCACATTGTTATGCATATTCATGTGATCTTTGAGTGTCTGTAGATTTTTATAGCGTTTATCACAATCGGGCCAAACGCACACATGTGGTCGCTCTCCCGTATGCTTACGCTTATGTACATTGATATGTTCGCCGATAAACTCACATCCGGGCCAATCGCACGGCTTTCGTTGTTTATGTATAATTCGTTTCCTATTGTGGACAGCGATCTGATGAGTGCGTAACTGATAATTAATGAAAAACATTTCATTACAGCCATCGACGCCGCACCGGAGGGTCGGTTCGCTCCGATGTGATCGCGAGTGATACTTAAGACCGTGGGTTGTCGTGAATGACTTACCGCACCCGTCGACCGGACAGTCAAACACAGATTTGTCCGCCAAATGCTTGACCTGATGTCTCTGCAGATGCCGTATCGTAAGGCCCGCATACGCGCAGTCTTTGTAATCGCATTTAAATTGTTTGATATTTTTATGGATCGCTAAATGGGTGGCCAAACCCGAACTGTTTTTGTATATTTTATCGCACCCGTCATAATGACATTTAAATCGGGGTTCGCTGTGAACTTTATATAAATGACTGACAAATGAATTACGCGATGGCAATGCCTTCTGGCACTCAATTCCCGGACACTTCCAGGCCTTTGTCTTCGGATCAAAGCATTGATTTATCTCCCATTTGTTTAGTGCAAATACTTTGGTGTATTGTATGAGTGGTTCCGCCCCTTTGACCACCGATTCAATGCTCTCCACATTGCATACACTGTCCGTCGAGTGTGTCTTCAGATGTAGTTTCAAATACCCATCGCTAATGGCTTTAGACTCACAGCCATTGTGTGGACAATGAAATGGTTTCGCATTTTTGTGTCTCAATAAATCTAATCTAAAACCGAGTCTTGTTTTAAACACTTTCTCACAACCGATGTATTGACACACATATTGTCTGACAGTTTGAATGCCGGAAGTGTTGTCTTCAGTGGTTTCATTCATTGTTTGCTTCACTTCTTTGGGTTTATTTATTCGTTGCCTCATTTGTGGATCACTTGATGTCCTCTTCGTATGGCTTAATGAGTGAGTCTTGTCTTCCAATTGATCCACTCTTTGAGACAATTGCGTGAAGTCTTGTCTGTCATTCACATTGAGTTCTTCTATGACTTGTGAATATAGGTTTTGGTCATCACTTCTTAGAGTCAATTGTTGACCACAATTGGTTGTATTAAACGCTTGATAACAGTCTTTGGATTTACAGATGTATACGTTTTTGGCGTGAATTGTCTTCAAGTGGTCCCGAAACTGACCACTCGTTGGGTAACTCTCGCGGCACTCATTCACCGGACAATTGAATGTATTTGTCGTGAAATTAAAACATTTCAATCTTTCGGATCTGTTTTGTATGAGTAATGCAACCAATGATAGCTTTGATGTCATATTTTTAGTAACGCTTTGTCGAGTCCTTCCACTCATGTCTTTGTTTACCACTCGTTGTGATGATAGAGATGTCGAGGGCTTTGAAAACGGGAATAATGTTTTCATATTAGTTGTCAATACAGTTCTCATTGTATTTATCGGTTCCGTATAATTATCTTCGTGTCCTTCATTCACATCTGGTATCAAAACCACATCATTGCTGTCATCCAAGTCTTCAGCCATCACTTCATTGTCATCAGTCATTTGAATTACTTCTTGTGTTTCATATCTTTGTCTCATTTGTTGATCATTTGATGGACTCTTCATTTGGTCTTCAAATTCAGTCTTCATGTGATGTCCAACCGATCCATACGTTTCATCACTCAATTGATCCAATGTTTGAGATAATGTCCGGAAGTGTTGATTGTCTTCTGAATCGATAAGTGTTTCATATTTTGAGTGAATTTTAAATAAATGTGTTTTCATTTCATTCAAACATTTGATTTCATGTAAAAGTCTATTGTTTTCATTCATTAATTCATCCAAAATATCGTTTATATAAATCATTGAATCCATAATTGAATTCAAAATCACATTTAAAACTAATTCACAATTAATTTGAATACAAATTAAGTGCAAAACTAAACAACAATTGAATAAAAAAATGTAAACAAAACTCAACAAAACAAATGAGAATTAAAGGGAATGTCTATTAATTACGTAAACATTTTTTATTACATTTAAATACAATTTAGTGCTAAAAGTTTACAATTAATGACAATTTTCATAATAATTATCATAAACTTTATTTAATTAATAAAAAAAAATTTTAATAAAAATTAGTGATAAAATATACTGAAACAGTAGTCAAACAAACACAACGTTAGTACAGACCCGACAGCACCGGGAGATTCATTACATAGCCTGCGCTCAGAGGGGGAGACTCGAGGCCAGCAATTGGTGGATATAATTAAATATACCTCTAGTTATTAATTAATTATTAGTTTAATGATAAGAAATTAAAGTGTTGCTATTTATTTACAAATTTAAATTATATTCATTCCCAGGCGATCATTATTACTTGTTTATGAAATTTTATTTATCATTGTATTAACTTATTTTCACTGTTACTTATGTTTATGTTTCCATAGGAATTGTTCAGATAATTAGATATTATATTTAGTTAATTATTCGTGAAATTAAAATAATTATTTTAGAAATATATGTAATTGTAAAACATTATTAACGTTACATTAATATTATGTATTAAATATGATTACTTTCATTTTATTTGAGAAATAATTAACTGTACAGTAGATTATCAATAAAGCACTTCAGTGTAAATAATCAAGAGTTCTGGCAATGAATTTATGTTACTTTGTCGATGGGGTGCAACTAAAACATTATGATAAAACACAAATAAGATAACTAAATATACTTTCATACATGCGATTGATATTTAATTTATACACTTATATTGTACCACATTTAGGGTACATTATAGCCTTCAAATTACACTGTGTTATTAATTATACTGTATTATAATTTATTAGTAATAATAGTAATAATTTATTACTCGTTCTCCTAATTTTACCATAGTAATTGATTAGATCGTACAATATTACATTCTGGTGACAAAATAATACTGTTTTTTAATTTACCGTATATTAAATAAATGTAATGTATGACTAAACGAATTTGTAAATTACGTGACAGTATTTAATTATAAATATTAGCATAATTATAATATTATTATATAATTAACCAACATTCAATAAAATTATTGTTTATAACTAATATTAATACGATAATAATGCCGAGGTATAGGAGACAAATCGCTAATAACCCCAAGGTCTGTGTTGTTTGTGGAGAAACTGCCGTTGGTAAGAATTAAATTTAATTAACCTATGGTGATTATAATGTTTTAAATTAATCACAATTAATTATTTTAAATATATAAGGCTACAACTTTTGTGCCATTACTTGTCAGTCATGTAAGGCATTCTTTCGGAGACATGCCTTTAATTATGAGGTATGAGATATTGAATGATTAATTTTGTCTAACATATAAAATGGTAATTTTAATTATTTTTTATAACAAATAGATATATAAATGTAAGTTTAGTGACGACTGTGTTATCGACAAAAAGTACCGCAAATTATGCAGAAAGTGTCGGCTCAAGAAGTGCTTTGCTTTCGGAATGAAAAAAGTAATTATAAAATGAGATTAACATAAGTTATAATAATTTATTATTATATTTGTTATAAAGGAATGGATTCTTAATGAAGAGGAGAAGGAATGGCGAAGACATACAATTGAGACAAACAGACAGTTGAAAAGAAATGGTTTGAAAGACACGACTTATGATAATTCAATTACCAGTACTTCATCTGATGTGTCAAACGCCGAGACAAATGACAATTTTAGTAACAATTCAATTGACAATACACTGGACAACGCCATCATAAATAATAATATCACTGAATGTATTATGAAAATGGCAGACATTAATCCAAACGAGATGACGGATGTCATAGCTCTATACGACATGTCTGAAGAAAGTAATATCATTATTAGCACAGATTCAGAGCAATCACAAGACATGTGTATCAGTGATAACACCAGCGCTAACTCAATGGCTGTCGACATATTCAGCGCTAATAATACAATTAAACAATTAATTGATTTAAATTGTTTCAACGATTTTGAGCAAAAACGTCTAGATGAATTGTTTGGCCTTTCAATGCTTCACTTGCCTTTCCACGATCATCCAAAACATAAATACCCCGATGTTAATGACATGCAATTAGTGCTGTCATATGATTTTATTATGGAAGATGCCGCTCAACAATTTGACACGAGGTTAACAGAACTCGTGGCAAATATTCAAAATTTTAGCCCATTTCAAAGTCTATGTTTAAATGACCGAATCGCCATGGTCAAATACGGCTGCATGGGATTCAACCTGCTTAGGTCTGGCACCTATTATAAACCCGAGTTTAATGGCTGGTATTTTCCAATGGTATGGATTCACTGTTTATATATAGTATAACTGATATTGTTCTTCTTATTAATTTAATCATGGTATTTTTAAAATAGAATTATGATGTTAATAATTGGGTATCAATACCATTAAAGTCAGTACAAGGAATAAATACTTATATGTATAAACATATGATGTTTTATTTTAACACTTTTGTCACCGATTTTGATTCCGATATACATATCCTTGAATTGGTATAATTTTAAATTTTATTGTCATTAAATTTAATTCACCATAATTAAATTCATTTACTTATTGAAACAGATATTGCCTGCTATATTATTCAACCCTGATCGACCAAACATTATCAACAGAGATGGCATAGAGTAAGCCATAAATCATTACTATTAAACATTACTACAGAATATTCTTGTGATTTACAATAGACTACAACAACAGTTATATCTGTATTTACTTCACAAATATTTGCGTATAAAATATGGCAATAATTTTGACAACAAATATGAAAAAGTATTAAATATTTTACGAGATTTTAAAGTAATGAATGAAATATCCAAACAATGGTATAAAGATATGAACTCCTCATTTGGTGGACCACTACTCAAAGAAGTCATTGATTTGCCAAATAATCAATTGAATTAATATATATTTATTAAAAATAATTATATTTAAAGTTCATAATTGTAAAATATTCATGTTATGTATATTAATTGGATTATATTGTCACGTATAAAAACTGTCCCATTGAATTTTGTCATCGAAACAATCATTCAAAAGTGGCGCGCATTAATTAATTAAGGGTCTTGCAATAATTAAGTCCTAATTAGTCGTTGTACTCATT